TAGACTAGTCTATGGACCAGTCTATTGTCTAGCCTCCTGTCTATTTCATGGATTGTCAATTGACTCGTTCATAAACAACTTAACAACAAAAAGTCTATTGGCTAATCCATAGATACGTCTATTGACTAGTCAATGGATTCTTCTCTCACTTTCCTGATATGGTTCTGGATGGGAATACGGTTATGGCTCTTCTTTGGCATATCATTATCTACCTATATGTTTCTTGTTGACCTAAGGATGGGCTACTCCTTTTCGTATTCTATGGGATATTCTATGCACTAGTTTATTGACCAAACTATGGACTAGTCACCGGACCAGTCTATTACCTAGTATTGTCTATTCTATGGATTGTCTATTGACTTATAAATAGATATGTCTATTGACTAGTCAAAGGAATCTTCTCTCACTTTCCTAATATGGTTCTGGATGGGAAAACGGTTATGGCTCTTTAGCAAATCATTATCTACTTATATGTTTCTTGTTGACCTAAGACAACCGGAATATATATTTACATATCCCGGCCTTATATTTAATCCAAGCCAAATCTGTTGGAATTTTGATTGGGAAACGGAAGAAAATCTTGTTGTATGGGTTTTAAATACAGTTTTAATATGTCAATATAGTTCATAAAAGAATCGTCTCAAAAATGTCTCGATCTTAAAAAATGCTGCATTATCGATATAGCAGTGAGAAGTTACATACTAAGGTTACTATTCCACATTTCCATGTTCATACTTCCCCTAAAATTTCTCTTTTCTTTAGCTTTCCTACAGCACCATTTACTGTAAATCTATACACATAATTCCTCCAAAGTTAAACGTTGCCTCTTTATCTTACTCCCACTATGTAAGAGTATTTATGTTTTTATTTAACAGAGGAGTGAAAAAAATTAAGGAAGTTATTTTTTTCATTTCCTCATTTAACCTTCATGTTCTTCTTCGCAAAAAGAAAAAAAAACAAAACAAGAAGCAACAATAACAAAATACTCAATAAATACTTTATGGCTTAAAGTCGTGTTACAAAGCTCTACCAATGACTATTTACAGCTCTAAGAAAGCACTAGGTGTTTTTCAAACACAATGAAAAGAGATGAAGAACACAAAGACGAAGAAGTAAATCAAGTTATCTAGAAACATGCAAGCTATTAATAAAGAATTCGCGTGCGTTTGCCAATTTAACAAGTTGATATGGTCGAAATTTGTTATTGATGTTGTACGAATTAAAAAGTTGTGTGAAAGAAAACACAACAACAAAAACAATAATAACTTAATGTATTAACAAACAATAAACATTTGGAAACTTATTTGAACATGTATAAATGTAGGTGTATTTTTTTTTATTTTGTACATACGAAAATTTACCAAAAACATAATCTACTTTTGGGGAGTAAAAGGAAAAACAAGAAATTACATTGTTTATATTGTAATTCGGTAAAATGGAATCAACAACACTGTGTCGAACAATAATAACAAAAGGACCTTCACGCTAATGTGGCTTTAAGTGTTTGTATATTAAATTATAACACACAGTGATATAAACATACATACATATGTTTGTATGAATTTGTATGTATATGTGCGTTTGAAGGTACATGTACTATCTAATGCACTTTTTTCCGCTTCTGTATTATTTTGTCGGTAAACGCCTTATATTTGGTGAACAAATAAACTGTGTTGAAATAGTAGTGTTTACAACTATAGCACATCATATAGTTTCTACGGAATAAACTATAGTCCGGAATAAACAATTGACAATAGACTGGATTATAGCATGAACTGAGTAATATAGAAAACAATGGACTATAGTTTGGAATGTGTTTGAAACCAAGTCTGGACTTAATTGTATCCTAGGAAATAGCCTGAATTGTAGGCTGGAATATAGTCTAAATTAAAGTTTGAACTACAGTTTTAAATATAGTCTTAAATATAGTCTGGACCATACAAAGGAATGACATATAGTCTGGAATATACACTAGATTTTAGTCCGTAGAATAGACGACTGTACTATAGTATGAACAACAATAGATTAAAGGCCGGTTTGAGTAATATACGTGTAAAGTATAGACTGAAGTCTGGAACGTATTTGGAACGAAGTCTGGATTATCAGAACTTTATCCTAGAAAATAGTCTCAAATATTGGCTGATAATAATGTAGATTATAGTCTGAATTATATTCTTAAATATTTTGTGTACCATAATATATTTAAAGGCATGCGATTCGGAACATTAATGAACATTAACATGAATAATTCTCTCCATAGAAAGGATGGCATATCGACTTGACTATAGTCTGCAATTTACACTGGATTACAGCCTGGAAAGAAGTCAAAACTCTAGTATGGACAACAATCTGGACAATAGAATATTGTCCGAATTGAGTTAAATATATATAAAAATGGACTGAAGTGTGGAAGGTATTTAGAAAAAATTCTGGTCTTCAGGAAGTAGTCTGAACTGTAGTCAGTTAGTTAGTTAGTTAGTTAGTTAGTTAGTTAGTTTGTTAGTTAGTTAGTTTTAGTTAGTTAGTTAGTTAGTTAGTTAGTTAGTTGTTCGTTAGTTTAGTTAGTTTAGTTTTTAGTTAGTTAGTTAGTTCGTTAGTTAGTTAGTTAGTTAGTTTTCGTTAGTTTTATCGTTAGTTCGTTCGTTCGTTCGTTCGTTAGTTCGTTCGTTGTTCGTTCGTTAGTTAGTTCGTTCGTTAGTTCGTTCGTTCGTTCGTTCGTTATTCGTTCGTTTTCTGTAGTTGTTCGTTCGTTCGTTCTTCGTTAGTTCGTTCGTTAGTTCTTTCGTTCGTTCGTTCGTTCTTCGTTCGTTCGTTCGCGTTTAGTTAGTTCGTTCGTTCGTTCGTTCGTTCGTTCGTTCGTTCGGTTCGTTCGTTCGTTTCGTTCGTTCGTTTCGTTCGTTGTTGTTCGTTCGTTCGTTTTCGTTCGTTCGTTCGTTTCGTTCGTTCGTTCGTTCGTTATTCGTTCGTTCGTTCGTTCGTTTCGTTCGTTCGTTTCGTTCGTTCGTTCGTTTCGTTCGTTCGTTCGTTCGTTTCGTTCGTTCTTCTTTCGTTTCGTTCGTTCTTCGTTCGTTCGTTCGTTCGTTTCGTTCGTTCGTTCGTTCGTTCGTTTCGTTCGTTCGTTCTTTCTTCGTCGTTCTTTCGTTTTTCGTTCGTTCGTTCGTTTCGTTCGTTCGTTCGTTCGTTCGTTCGTTCGTTCGTTTCGTTCGTTCGTTCGTTCTTCGTTCGTTCGTTTTCGTTCGTCGTTCGTTTTCGTTCGTTCGTTCGTTCTTTCGTTCGTTCGTTCGTTAGTTGTTCGTTCGTTCCTTCGTTCGTTCGTTCTTTCGTTCGTTCGTTCTTTCGTTCGTTCGTTTCGTTCGTTCGTTCGTCGTTCGTTCGTTCGTTTCGTTCGTTCGTTCGTTCGTTTCGTTCGTTCGTTCGTTCGTTTTTCGTTTCGTTTGTTCGTTCGTTCGTTCGTTCTTCGTTCGTTCGTTCGTTCGTCGTTCGTTCGTTCGTTCGTTCGTTCGTTCGTTCGTTCGTTCGTTTTTTCGTTCGTTAGTTCGTTCGTTCGTTCGTTCGTTGTTTCGTTTCGTTCGTTCGTTCGTTGGTTTGCGCGCTGCTTCCCTGTGTTGGGCCTCTCTTTTTTCCCCCTTCTCACTATACATAAACAAATTACTGCTTTTCCATTTAAATTGTTTAATTTTGTAAGAAATCACTGTTTTTTTGGAGTCTCTTGTTATACCCTACATCACTTTAGTGGGGAGGGTATATTGGGTTTGTGCTGATGTTTGTAACGCACAATAATATTGGTCCTATACCCACCTTAAAGTATACCAATCGGCTTAGAATCATTTTCTAAGTCGATTTAGCTATGTCCGTCCGCCTGTCCATCCGTCCGTCCGTCCATGTAAACCTTGTAATCAAACTACAGGTCGCAATTTTGAAGATAATTCAATGAAATTTGGGACGAAGCCTATTGAAAATGGTTAAGATCGGTCCATTATTTCACCTAGACCCATACAACTGAATCCCGGAATAGGGCTTGTAAACCTTGTAATCAAACTACAGGTTGCAATTTTGATGGTTATTCAATGAAATTTGGCACATGATCTTCTATGGTATCGGAGATAAAGCCTATTGAAAATGGTTGACATCGGTCCATTATTTCACCTAGCCCCCTACCTGACGAATAGGACTTTTAAATTCATAATTATGTTTAATATACTCGTATCTCAACAAAAGCTGCAAAACCAAGTGCTATACTAGCCTTGATGATGATACAAAGCCGCCTTCAAAATTTGACTAAAATGTCCACAATTTTATTCAACAATAAATGGCTTAAGTATATCTGAGGCAATGTACAATTCAACTACAATGCTTTTTTATGAAAACAAAATCACATTTTATTTTTGTAACACGTGTAGGGTATTATATGATCGGTCGCGCCCGACTATAATTTCTTACTTGTTTTTTTGTTTTTTAAAAGGAAGGAAGACTTTTCATTTCTTAATTACCTTCCTTTTTAGAGGGTTTGTTTAACTTCGTTTTAAGCACTTTTTTAAATCATTTTTCATTTTTGGTGTGCTAAATGTGTTTCTTTTTGTTTTGACACAACACGCCCACCATATGTTCAGCCAGCAAAAAATGAAAAGAAACACAGAAAAGCCGAAAACATTTAGTAAATTAAGTGCGTTGCCTTTCAATTATGCCAGTTGGAAATGAAAATTAGATTAATTATGTTAAGAATTTTACTTACATTAATGTTGTGTTTTTGGTTTTTGTCAAGAAAAGAAAAAAAAAAAACAAAACACAAAACAGGATGCCACCAACATTTATAAGCTTGTTTTTAAAACAAATTTAAATGTGTGGGAAAATGTTTTATGAAAAGGTGTCCTTATAGAAAGAAAATATTTTAATTAAATTAAAATCTCTTTAAAAACAGTTTAAAAATTTAAAATTTTAGCATTTTTAAGCAACTTAAATTTATGCATTTCAAGTGATGTTTTCTTTTCCTTTATTTTCAGGATATCAAACGTCATGACCAAGGCATCTATCGTTGTCGCATTGACTTTCGTACTAGTCAAACACAAAGCTTCCGTTTCAATTTATCAGTCATAAGTAAGTATCCTTAAAATAGTTTGCAACTTTCATATTTCTATCTAAGTTTAACTTGTGAATTTTTTATGTTGTTTATGAAAAATAACATAAAGTTCGTTTTTAAAATAATCATACATTTATTGACAGTAATAACAACAATAATATGTACATATTTTATAATTTATTTGTTTTACAAGAGACAATCTGCATTTATTGATACCCGGTAGAATTATTAAAAAGTTTAAAGATGTTTTCTTCTTGTGCAACAGAGAGAGTCGGTCTATCAACATGGTGATATACTGACTCTTTTAAAGGAATCATGAGGAATTTTAACATTAGTATACGATTGGCTACAACAGCTCCTAGTTGGCTGAAAATTCGACATTTGGGTACTAGTTTGGTGACCTACTGGGAATTTATTCATATCTGTGCAACTACATTTGTACACAGAAGCATCATTAAAAATGTAACAAATGTGCATACATAATCATGTCGTTGTTATTTTAAGAAGACAGAAATACAATTTTTAAAATAATGTAGATATTTTTAACAAATAAAGCAGGAGACACTACCAGCCAAAATGAAACAGTTGCGAGCTACACCTATAGAAAAAAATATTAAAATAAGCAATATATTTCATATATGTATATTTAGAAATCCATAGTGGATCTTTGACGACTTCTTAGTTTTATAAATTTGAGATAAAAACTGCTCTGTACTTTTGTATTTCAATGTATTTGTGTTACATACTTACTTGTGTATTCATTTGCATATTCTTGTTATTATTTTGATGTATTTTATACATACATACATGTAATAATAACAACGAATCAAAATATAGTAAAGTGTAAACATTAGAGTGGAAATAATAACAACAACAGCAAAATATTATGGAAATTTATCTATCAATGTATGCATACATATGTATTAGGTTGGAATGAACAAAAATGTGACCATCTATTTACTGGGGTACTTATAGGGATGTATGTATCAAATCCAAATTGAGGAAGTCGTCCTGAAAAATAGACAATCGTTCAAATAAGTATAGTATGTAAAGCCTCTTCATGATGTATAAGAGAGGGTGATATTACGTATTCTGATGGTCCACAAGCGATCATGGGCATAACTATATAAGAACTGATAAGGACAATATTTGCCATCCATTTACCGGAATTAGATATTTGATGCCATGTTAAAAGATTCATATCTTGCAAAACGTTCGGAATTTTGATTTACATTATGAAATTGTATTGCTTTTTTTAAAGACACCTGTACGTATACGTGTTATTGATTTTTTGATATTACAAATATTAAGTATACGCCTTATTTAGAGGAGTACTTTTTTTTATACCCTACACCACTTTGGTGGGGAGGGTATATTGGGTTTGTGCTGATGTTTGTAACGCACAATAATATTGGTATAAAGTATACCAATCAGCTTAGAATCATTTTCTGAGTCGATTTAGCTATGTCCGTCCGTCCGTCTGTCCGTCCGTCCATGTAAACCTTGTAATCAAACTAAATTTTGAAGATAATTCAATGAAATTTGACACATGATCTTCTATTGTCCCAGGGACGAAACCTATTGAAAATGGTTAAGATTGGTCCATTATTTCACCTAGCCCCCATATAACTGAACCCCTGAATAGGGCTTGTAAACCTTGTAATCAAACTACAGGTCGCAATTTTGAAGATAATTCAATGACATTTAGCACATGATCTTTTATGGTATCGTAGACGAAGCCTATCGAAAATGGTTAAGATCGGTCCATTATTTCACCTAGCCCCCATACAACTGAACCCCCCAAAAGGGCTTGTAATCCTTGTAATCAAACTACAGGTCGCAATTTTGGAGATAGTTCAATGAAATTTGGCACATGATATTTTATGGTATCGTAGACGAAGCCTATTGAAAATGGTTACCATCGGTCCATTATTTCACCTAGCCCCCATACAACTTAACCCCCGAATAGGGCTTTTAAAATTTGTAATCAAACTAAAGGTCTCAATTTTGGATATAATTCAATGAAATTTGGCACATGATCTTTCATGGTACCGTAGATGAAGCCTGTTGAAAATGGTTTATATCGGTCCATTATTTCACCTAGCCCCCATACAACTGAACCCCTCGAATAGGGCTTTTAAAACTTGTAATCAAACTACAGGTAGCAATTTTTGAGATAATTCAATGAAATTTGGCGCATAATCTTTTATGGTACCATAGATGAAGCCTGTTGAAAATGGTTTACATCGGTCCATTATTTCACCTAGCCCCCATACAACTGAACCCCTCGTATAGGGCTTTTAAAATTTGTAATCAAACTACAGGTCGCAATTTTGGAGATAATTCAATGAAATTTGGTACATGATCTTTTACGGTATCGTAGACGAAGCCTATTGAAAATGGTTAACATCGGTCCATTATTTCACCTAGCCCCCATACAACTGAACCCCCGAATAGGGCTTTTAAAACTTGTAATCAAACTACAGGTCGCAATTATGGAGATAATTCAATTAAATTTGACACATGATCTTTTATGGTACCGTAGACGAAGCCTATTTAAAATGGTTACCATCGGTCCATTATTTCTCCTAGCCCCCATACAATTGAACCCCCGAATAGGGCTTTTAAAACTTGTAATCAAACTAAAGGTCGCAATTTTGGAGATAATTCAATGAAATTTGGCACATGATCTTTTATGGTACCGATGTTGAAAATGGTTTACATCGGTCCATTATTTCACCTAGCCCCCATACAACTGAACCCGCCGAATAGGGCTTTTAAGTTAATAATTATGTTTAATATACTCATATCTCGACAAAAAGCTGCAATAACCAAGTTGTATACAAGACTTGATGACCCCCACGAATTCCATAATAATAGGTTCTCTTATGACCCTAGCCCCTATGAAAAGCCCCCATCAAAATTTCACTTAAATGTCCACAATTTTATTCAACAATAAACGGCTTAAGTATGTATATCTAAGGCAAGGTACAATTCAACTTAAATGCTTTATTATGGCAACTAAATCACATTATATTTTTGTCAAAGGTGTAGGGTATTATATGGTCGGCCTCGCCCGACTATAATTTCTTACTTGTTGATTTTTTGATATTACAAATATTAAGTATACGCCTTATTTAGAGGAGTACTTGAAGTATTTTTATACCCTACACCACTTTAGTGGGGAGGGTATATTGGGTTTGTGCTGATGTTTGTAACGCACAATAATATTGGTATAAAGTATACCAATCGGCTTAGAATCATTTTCTGAGTCGATTTAGCTATGTCCGTCCGTCCATGTAAACCTTGTAATCAAACTAAAGGTCGCAATTTTGAAGATAATTCAATGAAATTTGACACATGATCTTCTATTGTCCCAGGTACGAAACCTATTGAAAATGGCTAAGATCGGTCCATTATTTCACCTAGCCCCCATACAACTGAACCCCTGAATAGGGCTTGTAAACCTTGTAATCAAACTACAGGTCGCAATTTTGAAGATAATTCAATGACATTTAGAACATGATTTTCTATGGTATCGAAGACAAAGCCTATTGAAAATGGTTAACATCGGACCATTATTTCACCTAGCCCCTATACAACTGAACCCGCCGAATAGGGCTTTTAAGTTCATAATTATGTTTAATATACTCCTATCTCGACAAAAAGCTGTAAAACTAAGTTCTATACTACCTTTAATAACCCTCATGAATTTTTTAATTATAGGATCTCATTTGACCATAGCCCCTATTCAAAGCCCCCTTCAAAATTCGTCTTAAATGTCCACAATTTTATTCAACAATAAATGGCTTAAGTATAATTCAAGGCAAGTTACAGTTCAACTTAAATGCTTTTATATGAAAACTAAATCACATTTTATTTTTGTAACAGGTGTAGGGTATTATATGGTCGGCCTCGCCCGACTATAATTTCTTACTTGTTTTAACACGTAAACGCTTTTATATTGTGTGCTGCGTCCGGAAATTTGAAATAAAGTGTGAAGTAAGTTTAAAGTTGAAAGGTGCATTCAGGTGTATAAAAAGGCTGTGATTAAAGTAGACTTGCCGTTCATCATAGAACTAATGCATCAGATAAATACCACCAGAAGAGCCATCACATAGGGTCTTAGTACTTGTCTAGAAGATCTAGACTAATTCCAATAACATATAGAGGTTTCTTACCCCACACTTTCACTGATATAGCAGACAAAATGTAAAAACACACAAAAAAAAAAAAAAAACATTACAAACTACGCTGTAGCGTAGTATCATACATACATCAGGAGACCCATGTAAGGATATTGCAAACCAAATTGGAAAGGATATTACAGAATGTATGAAAAATATTATAAACCATATAAAAATAAACTGCAGAAAGTTGGAAAATCTGCTTGTATATGGAAACTAACTAAGGATCAAGGTCGACGATATTCATAAATCTTCCTTTATGAAAATTGCTCTAAAAAAACATATATGAATGAACAGCAGTTAGAATCGTCAAATGTAAATGAAGCAGGGAGGGAGAGGAGGTCATCATGGCTATATGAAATAAAGGGCCGATTTTAACCATGGGCCATAGATAAGCATTTACAAGTTTTCATTGAATTATCTTCAAAACCTGAAGTTCGATTACGAGGTTTACATGGATGGATAGACAGACAGACAGACAGACAGACAGACAGACAGACAGACAGACAGACAGACAGACAGACAGACGGACGGACGGACGGACAGACGGACGGACGGATGTAGAAAATTATTGTTGGGTATATGATCAATATTATTGTGCGTTGCAGATATTAGCACAAACCCTTCTCACTGAAGTGGTGTAGGGTGTATTTAGAAGAAGGCTAGTTTGACTACGAGGAAATGTGATATGCGCAACAATGTTAATAATACAGCGACTGTAGAAATACGAAGTTCCATATTTTCACAAGATATTTTTTACTCAAACATTTTTTATAATTCCGTTATTAATTTTTTACAACTCAATTTTCTTGTTATATTTCTAACCTACA